CTGGCTCCGGACCCAAGCAATCGGCGCCACATCCAGGAGCTCCTGAACGGCCTTGGCACAAAGTCTGGTGCAAATTTAGGCTGCGAAATGGTGACCAAACAGTATATAAAGTGGTGCCCCATAGTTAGATAAGTTGGTGAACATAACTCCCATAACTATGGTTTATGGCAGATATAACTATAGTATTCATGGGGTTTATAAACCAACTTGTAACTGGGGGGCACCATCCTGTATAATCATACTGGTGCTTAGTAGGGAATGAGGGAATGGGCGGAATGGGATGTTTGATGATGATTGTTAATAGTTGTGGGGTTGGATTATTCCCCCATTCCCTACTAGGCACCAATAAGTAGTGCAAAGGACTCATAGCGTGCGCTGTTTTGATATGTTGAGGGTTTAGGATTCAAGAATCCTTGCATTGTTCGGACCTTGAAGAATTGGGCGATCATCTGTGCAGCTCAGGGTAGATGTGGTCTGAAGATGTCTGAATCTGCAGCCACTCCACTGCTAGTATTTCAAAGATCTTCTTATTCATCAAACTTGTTGAACCATCATCCTCTTCAAGCAAGTCTTGCTCAATATGTCTAAAATCAAATGGAACCATTGCCATTCCTCTGTCCTGTCCGATAAAGACATGAATTCAGAGACACATCCACAGGTGAATGGCCCTTCACAGCCCCGGCCACGTGAAGTTTATCAGTTTCAATTGGAGGTGGCTTTAGTTTTGGTTTAAAAAAAATCCACAGACCCTCTGTGCAATTACACAAATTACATCTAATTTCATTACGGAAGCTACTTGATATCATTTTACATTCAAAATATCTCTCCAAATGTTGGATAGTATAATATATATATATAATATAGTATCACCACTTTTGGAGTTTCTGTCAGAAACCACCTGGCCACATGACATGCCGACTGGGGTCCCCAAGTTGGGCCCCAAGGCATTCTCTCCGAAGATCAAATCTCCATGGCCATCGGGTAGAACCTGGGACGACATGCAACGATCACAGCGGTGAAACTTACCCCGGTTTTCGTCATCTTGGTAAAGAAATATACCAAATATACCTCAGTGAAGGCCTCCTAGTCCTACGTTGATTTTTTTTTGATTCTAATTGGATGTTGATTCAAAAGTCGTATCGGGAATTTGATCAACACCCACCAAAGGTGACCCCCTCAATAGGGGTTTATTAAGGGCTTATTAATCACCAACAACCACCAAAGCTTATTGACCTGCCACTTGCGAGCGCACCAACGTGAAGACCAGACAGTAGCCTTCAGGCAAATCCTCCCGGTTTCGCCGTCAAACCACTGGGAACCCTTCAGGGAACCGTCGAACTCTGGGGATCAAATCACAGCAAGCCCCTGAAGTTGGCCCTTTGCACAGACTTGGGTGGCTGGAGGTCAAGTTACTTTCAATAATCCATAAATATGGGGAATAAGATGGAATAACATGTTCAGCGTATCCCAGATTCCTGCACGGCTTGTTGTCGGACAAAATCACAAACTTCAAACTGTAGTGCACGTATGTCAATGTATCTGGAACCGCTTACATGATCCTCATTTTGAGCTGGCTGAAAAATGATCAAATGGAGACATTCTCGCTCCGCCCGATTTGTCTGAAATTCAGGTACCCCCGAATCCAACAGTTTAGTCATTTTCCCTATTAAACAGGCCATTTGGAAGGAATTCTCACTTTCAGACGTCGCTCCTTCGGCTCCCCACGTGGCGCTGGCTGACCTGTCAGCTTGGCTATTTTGAATTCAGAAGCATAGGTGTGCCCATATATGATCCCTACATCCACCTATGTCATCTGATTATATACATTATCGACGATTGTTATGGCTTTTGTGATCCATTCTCAAACAATTGACCAAAGGTTTTTAGTTTTGAGCTTTTTTTTATCAATTCAATGGCGTATATTCCACGGGTATTCCAAAAATGAGATGTGTGAAAACCATATGCAGAGAATACCATCATTGTATATAGTATAGTATATATATATAATTATATATTATATAAATAATACGTATGTCCTAAAATGGGGGGGTTCTCCTAAATCATCCATTTTAATATGATGTTCCACTATAAACCATGCATTTTGGGGTATCCTCCATTTCTGGGAACCGTTGGGTTGCCGCACTTGAGGAGGTCTCCAAACCCAGCAGGGCGTTGACCGCCGGGTTCTGCGAATGGCCGGTTAGCAGTTTAAAAAAAAAGGAAGTTCATATATAATACACACAAGGAAAAACTAAAGGATATCCAGTTGTAAGTATTTTGAATCATATCCTAACAGAAACAACTGGTTCCAAATGGAAAACACTGTTATTTGGTTAGTGAAAAAATGGAATACGTCATTTCATGCCATAGCTTGCGACAACTGAAGGTGATTCCAGGGCCACCACTAGGTGGCCCAGGATATCTGAAGAGTACCATCTGGTTATGACTAACATAGCCATGGGAAATCACCATTTTTTAATAGGTAAACCATCTATAAATGGGCCATCTCTACCATGGCTATGTTAAATAACCAGAGGGTATATACAATGTGAAATGCGGATATACTCCAGCCAACTAAATCTTTCCAATAATCTGTCTATCTATATGCAAAAAAAAAACACATAAAGTCACGCAGTAACTCAAAACCCTTAACATGATAACAACATGGCTATGAATAAAAAAAACGGTCCAATGTTTTACATCACAACACCTGGTATTTATGGATATTAATCTTCCCATACATATGAACACAAATATGTTTTGACATATTGGGCATCAAGCCACGAAATTCCACCCACATCAGGGTAAATCCCTTATACCTCCTGGACACATCTGATGGTACACATTGTTAAAGTACATGGATATACATCATACATCATAGATTAGATCCCATATCATATATTTTGTTGGCGAGCCCCACCATATCCCATAGGTTGGTTCTATCCTATGAGATGGCATATATACATATATATGTATATACATATATGTATATATATATATATATCATATATATATAATAATATACCCCCTGTCCCTGTAGATGGGACACCCCAAAACCATTGGCTCTTCATGAAAGTTGACCAATCACTTCAATAATTTTAAAGTCCCTCAAATCCTGTCAGGAAAACACCAAATCTCTGATGGATGGGTTTTAATTAAAATGGTTGTCATTACCTCCAAAATCCTGCAAAATTGCCCGATGTTCTGCGATTTCACCATTGGATTTCCAGGAGTTCGGCCTTCTCTTGTCGCGAAGCCCAGGCTAACGCCATACCGCGATGTTTCGGGCAGCGTCCAAGAGGTACAACTGGGCCTATAGTAACTGGGCCATCTGGCCACTGTTCTTCGCTGCATTTGTCCATCAGCTCAAGATTTCTAAGTTTGGATGAAGATTTGAAACATGTTAAAGGAAAACTCTAAAGGAACCACGTAGATTTGAATGCTCAAGGTTCCCTCTCCGAGGTTTTCCCTCAAATAACACCAGAACAGGTGGGCACATGCCGGCTACACCAAGCATTGCTCTTCTGGTTTGAAGGAAATTGCTGTGGATTTCTGCCACGTAGCAACAGGGCGATCATTCCGTGGGGTTCATCTCTGTCGACAGTGTGACATGCTTGATCCAGGGTGCCGCGCACGGTTGGGAGTGGTAACAGTCGCAAGGGGTGCGGAAAAACGAGTGAAACAAGCAACTCAATAACAAAACAGGGATGGTGAAATGTGTCATTCAAGCATTGGAGATGTAGTCTCCAAAATCCATTTGAACATGATGTTGAAAACCCTAAAGCATTTTTGCCAACCCCCAAAGCAGTTGCTGGTCAACTATTGGGATGTCAAGTGAGTCCGAGTACGGCAAATCGTCTCGGAGGAATTTCTACTGCCAGTCCACCAAGAAATTTCCAACTGCGCACATCGTGTGATGTGTAGGTATCTGCTGTGAGAAGCCAACAAGGTTTGATTTTGAGTTCAGGGATCTGCGACAATCAATTTGCCGAATCAAACCTCCAAAGTCGATGAAGTTTGTCTTCATATCTGGATTCCAGCAGCCATCAAAATAATACGTACATCAAATACCCATGTGTGGGAAAAAAATATACATATAATCATATATAATACAATCCATGCACCATTATATTAATAATCATATATAATACAATCTATGTACCATTAGGTACCATCATTTACCTGAAACATGGCCGGTAGAGAAATTAACCAATCAGACATCTGTGGGCGCAGTCCGTCACTTGGATATCCACACTTTGGGATGTCACCCCAACAACAATAGGGGGCACCAACGGTGAATTCGGGCGCGGCCCCCCACACTGGTGGTGTTCCAATCGATGTCACGTGTCGCTCCCTTTCTCCCACGGATTTTGCCCCGATCTCAGATTGCTAGACGCTGACTCCATCTTGGTCATCTTGCGACGATTTTGGTACAGTATGACATATATATATAATATATATATATATATATAATATAATATAGTATAATATAATATAATATAATATAGTATAATATAATATAATATAATACAATATAATATAATATAATATAATATATATATACACACCATTGCACATTATTATAAACCGTTCTATACTATTACCATTATAATCCATTATATACTAGTATATACAATTAGAATACATTATGTATATACCATTATGTTCCATTATATACTAGTATATATATATTACCATTATGTATACTATTACAAATCCATTATATATATACCATTTTAAATCCATTATATATATACATATACATATATATATATATATACTGTGCACATATATATATATATAACATATATACTAGTATATACTATCATATATACTATCACTATACAAATATTAAATCCTATTACCATCCTATCATATGCTATTCTATCCTGTGATATCAGCCTCAATGAAGGTTGAAGATTCCAGCACCACTCGTCCAATGCTATCTTTGAAACTAAAGTTAGAAGGTAGAAAACTGAATGAACTGATGGTTTGGGGGAGTGGAATGGCACGACAATTGCACATCCGAACGACAGTCCCAGACTTGTTCAAGCAGCAGGGTGACCAAGATGGAAGTCAACAAAAGGAAGGTGAATTCCCATCAGTAAACTGGGAAAGCCTTGGCCATGGATTAGTTTCCCAGCCCCACCACGTTTCAAATGGCCGAGCTTTGCAACCTTCAACTGGTCTGGAAAAAGAAAACCAGTCTCAGTTGGCTCACACTCAGCAAACCAGTTCACCTCTGTGGGGCCATATTGCAGTGCCGGTCCACAAGACTGAGTCAAAATGTTCGATTACCCAAATATTGTAAGGCCATCAGTAGGTTTGGCCAAATTTTCCTCCATATCCAACATTCACATGTGACTTCTGTTCCCACGCTTGAGGTGATGAAGTTCTGTCACACAGTTCGTATCTGTATGATTTATGCGAGATATCTAATGCAACAAGTCTCCTGCAACATTTCCAGAGTTTCCAGACATCGACCACCAGTTAACCCCAGACCCACCAAGTTTTAGCTAGTTCGAAAAGTGTGGGTCGGAAAATGTGGGTCATTTCAGCCTATACGGCACTCTGGTGGAACATTCTAAAACGCACTTTAAAGACTTGACAATTTTGTACGACGCCATCAAATGTGACCATCTTTGGTGGGTCTTCATATTTTTTAATCCCAATATAGAGTAGTTTCAACGTTTCTCCGGTATACCATAAATAGCAATTTCAATTAGGAACATCAAATTTCTAAACTATTGGATTTTGGGGTATCACCATAAGTCACCGTGTATCACCATGCATTACCACCAGTTTTGTGCACACATATGGATTTTATGGGTTCAAAACCATTCAAAAGTATCATTTAATCTCGGCTGATATGGGGAATTCCGTATTTAACAGGCACATCAAACAGCCAAGTTCAACATGGTTATAGTATGTTGTTGTTGTAGTAATAATTTAAATCCAAGTGTTTACCATCTGATAAACTAACATAACTATGGAAAACCACCATTTTATATTGGTATATCAATTTTTAATGTTTTTTTTGTATGTTTACCAGAGGGTAGACCCCATTAACAAACAGTATATACTGATCACTTTGAGAAAGCCATGGAATTTGGGCGTCCCGAGCTGAAAGCCTATTGGTAGACCTCCTCCGTCCATCTGGCCTATTTGGGTGGTCGCAGCAGTGAAAAATGTTTTTTATTTTTATATTGCCCATATGATTATTATTATCGAAGGAAGTTTAGAAGTCAAACTTCCAACAATATGGACAGATGGTAAAGCAGAGGTGGGAAGAGTCAGAGAGGAGAAGGGCCGAAGAGAGAAGATCAGAGAAGAGAAAGAGTGAGAAGAAAGAAGATGCAGGCGCGCGAAAAGGCAGGAAAGCCGCGAAACACTGTGTTTTTTCCGATGATTTGTGGCTCCAGCGGGTCGAAAAGTAGGCTCGCTAAAGCGGCGGGTGCGGAGCCATCTGGCCAGATGAGAGATGAAAAATTGCACGCCGTTGTGGCACGAAGCACACCCGGAAGTAAACAACGTACAAAACACCTCATGTTCGGACGGCTTTTGGAAATTGAGATGTCGAAAAAGTGCACGCCGTTATGGCGCCAAGCACATTTCCAAGTCAAAATGTACAAAGCACACCAATGTCGGACCACTTTTAGAAGTTGAGATGTCGAAAAAGTGCACGCCGCTGTGGCGCGAAGCACGTTTCCAAGTCAAAATGGGCAAAACACACCAGCTCCGGACCACTTTTGGAAGTTGAGATGTCGAAAAAGTGCACGCCGTTGTGGCGCGAAGCACATGTCCAAGTCAAAATGTACAAAACATATCAGCTCCGGACCACTTTTGGAAGTTGAGATGTCGAAAAAGTGCACGCCGTTGTGGCGCGAAGCACAATTCGACTTCAAAAGTGCAAAAAAACTAGGGTGTTTGTAGCACTTTTGGACGTTCGGATGTCGTTTTGCGTGGCAGGCACGAGGGATTCTGCACCTTGCCAAAAGCAAAAACGTGAGGGTTTTGTAGCAGTTTCAGCTACAACCACCACTGCGCTACACTACATTACACTACACTACACCCCACTACAACTACAACTACAACTACAACTACAACTAATTAAAACTACAACTACAACCACAACTACATTACGCTACATTACGCTACACTACCCTACACTAAGTACACTACACTACACTACTCTACACTACACTACACTACATTACCCTACACTGCACTAGACTACACTACACTATACCACACTACAGTACGCAACGCTACAATACACGACAATACACTACACGAACTGCACCACACCGCAACTACAACTGCAACTGCAGGTGCAACTACACTAGTTACACTACATTACAACTACAACTCCACTACAAAACAACTCCACTACACTACAGTACAACTACAACTACAACTGCGCTGCACCACACTACATCCAGCAATTGTGGTGAGGTGACCACTGCAACCATTGCAACCACTCCAAAAAACACAACTCCAACCACCTTTCGGTCCATCAGTGGATTCGCTCTGCCATCCGTGATTCACAACAACCAACCTCTCCTATAGGTTTCCTATGTTTGAAACTTCCGCCACCGCCTTGTGCGGTACTACTGGTAGTTCTTGTTATTGCCATGATTATAAAATTATAATTATTATTGATGCAAATTGATGCTATTATCTATAACACAAGTTTTCGGACATCTGTATAAATTCAACTGATACTTTCCATGACCTTTCTGCGAGTCGGCTCATCTTATTCATCAAATTTCTGGGGGATGCCCTTTTCCGTATCATGTCGCTGGATTCTTTGGGTATACCTAAACTTTGGATGCATCAAAACCACCAAAAAACCAGACCATGTTTATGTTTGGCTCGCAATCACACGGCTTGCGGGATTCCCGCTTCAAGAGATCCCCACTGCCACAATTCCAAACCAGCTTAAACCACCAGATCACCAACTTCTTGACAATTTTTAGAAAATCTATAACACATCTATAAAGCATCTAGAAAACACCAGTTGACACTTCACAATCATCAGCTTTTAAAAAGCTGTTCGGGGTATCCCCACAATCCCATGTTTGTTTGACCAGGGGATGGTTCGTGGCCTGGGCTGGAAAGCTGATGCTCCCAGCTTCCGAAAAGTCTTTGATCGCCGACTGGTGCCAAAAAAAATCGGAGGGGCACGAGAAACACCTGGGATATATTTGTGTATACATATACATATATATATATATACATATGCATATATATATACATATGTATATACATGTATTTAAATACATGTATTTCTGTATGTATGTATGTCTGTCTGTATGTATGTATGTAGGTATGTAGGTATGTAGGTATGTAGGTAGGTAGGTAGGTAGGTATGTATACATATGTATATACATGTATGTATATATACATGTATGTATATATATACATGTATGTAAATACATGTATTTCTGTATGTATGTCTGTCTGTATGTCTGTCTGTCTGTATGTACGTATGTAGGTAGGTATCTACGTACGTATGTATGTATGTACGTATGTATGTATGTGTGCCTGTCTGCTTTGTCAAAAAATGGTTCTAAGTTCCAGTGGTCTACTGTAGAAACCAAAATTCACATTGCCAAGTGATATTGTTTTCCTCAAGAACACATTCTTTCCCACGTCATGATGTTTTCCCGATTTCCAACATAAACTATCGGGGGTTGGACCCGACATTTTTTTTTGCTTTTTAAAGCCATATTGCCATGTGATATTTTTACCATAACCAAACCACCCATCCTGTCATGGCCTTTTGCACCGTCCCTTCGACGCTGATGAAGTACCTGGCGATGGGTCGCCATGAAGAACCCCGACGAAATCACCGATATTTATGACCTTTATCTGTTTTGGTGGTATACCTACCCCTCTGAAAAATATGAAAGTCAAATGGAAGCATTATTTCCAATATATGGAAAAATAATCCAAATGTTCCAAACCACCAACCAGTTATGTATTGAGGATTGCTATATAGCATGGCTATTGTAAATCACCTAGACGCTTTCCATTCCACGTGGATTCTCATCTAAGTCAGCGACCTGGACGCCTCCACACCTGGATGCCTCAACCCTCCGTGTCTCCTCTGCGCACGCCATGATTTGAATGAAGCCTTGCCTCAGAGAAGCAGGAGTCAAAGCAAAGTCTTGGAAATGTGACATATGAGGATGAATGAGGCATATTTTGGAATATTGCTTATTACATGGCTCAGTGTATAAGCAAATAAGTTGAACAACACAACATATCAAACTGGCTCAGTGTATTGCAACTGGAGTATCGAAGTGCAAATAAACTGGAGCATTTATTACGCATATTCACCGCCAACCAAAATGGAATGCAGGCCAAAAACAAAAGACTAAGCCCCAGCATATCCCAGTATATGATAATTTCCTGCTTGGCAACGTACTCTTCAGCGGAAATTGACCCAAGCACGAACTACGCTGGAATGCATCCAAAATCCTCAATTCATCTCAATTCACATCACTTGGCTGAGGAATGGATGCAGTAGGATCCCCTCTTTTTGGAAACACTTCCAAGCCCATTTCATCATCCCATATAATATCATATAATCATGCCATATCATTATCCCATATCATTCCATTCCATTTACTTTGGAAGCCAACCACAGAAGCATTCCATGCGGCGGCCCTTTTTCTTGGAGTGACTTGGAGTCTGTGAATCGCCTGGACTATGGAAGACTTGAAGGATCTTGGTCTGGAATTGGTGGTTATGGCTCCAACTGTTGTACCAAAGACAGGACCTGCAAAATTCACCAAAATTGGTAATTTTTGATGTTCACCTATTCAACTTAGCTCGCTAAGTAATTTTGAGCCATACCGGCCATGGCCATACCTATATAGCCACACAACCAATACAGAGGGATACAGAGGGCACTTGACTTGTTGATGTCGCATGTTGAAGCCTCCATAGTCCTGCCAGCATGCCCAGGGGATATCTGATCCTTGGTGGAATCCGCCTGGTTCATCTTGCTGGGAAGACGCGGAAGTTGGAAAATTGCACGAGACCATTCCGCCAGTCAGCGTCTTTGATGCGGCCCCGTGACGTCATAGAGGTGCTGTGTCGAGTTTAAGTCTGATGTTTCCACCCATATGTTTATAATCATTTTTCCCAATTAAAAAAACGTCATTGCCATCTTGGGGGGTTCATGCCCCATTTTCAGACACACCCAGGTGTGTTGTTGTTCCCCCCAAAGTGTCCGCAGCCACTCGCTGCAACAGGATACGTCTACGCTGTACTCATGGCTGCACTCATGACTGCCTCATCCCAAGCGCGCTTCACTGGACCCTGGTCCTGCAGTGCTGATCCATGCTGATCCATGACAGAAGCAGCCAACCAATTTCGAACGTATACTTGCGTGTGTATATATATAATATGTATTTATAGAGTAGTATGTGTGTTATAGTACTGGACATGTCTAGATGCATATATATATATATTGATATATATATGGTATTATATAGTTATATGTGCATGTACATGTACATGTATGATATCTTGATGCAATGTATATATGCATAGTTAAAACCTATTCTATGCATATTGAATATGAATATAAATATATAATTATGTATATATATATATTAACTGAACAAAGGAGTAAATCACCCTGGACATAAAAACATATATATATATACTCAGTAAACTCCAGCCACCGTTCTCCATGCGCTCGGGGCCAAAGAATTCCCTAGCCAGGTCCTTGCCAAGTCGGCAGTAGTCTGCATAGTAGGCTGCAATATCACCCGCAAAGGTGTGTGATGGTTGCCAGCCCAACACCTGAAACAAAACCCTTGGCTCCACATCAATTTGGTAGGTGTCCATTGGATGCCCCCCAAAAAAAATCGACTCAAATTCACGCATGCGGGGATCCACGAATGAAGAACCCCAAAATCGTCCAACTGATTGATCATTTTACTAGGACAAGCAATGGTATTGGGGTACCCAACCAAGTCCACGAATGTCTATAACACATCGATGTTGAGGTTAAATCCACTATTTTAGAGATAGAAATATGTTAATTCAAGTTGACCTATATTGATGGGTGTATCAGTGTTTTCCTATTAAAATAGCAATATGCAATATACTGTATTAGGTGGTAATCCTCCACTGTCAGACTTGTGGCCCGATATCATCACATTGTTGTTTGCCATTGTGGCCCGTTATATCCCATTCGATGCTAGGTTTGATATCTACATTCAAGTTGGCTAAGCCACCCTTAAACCGCCAAATTTATGGATGACTTTCCCAACTTCTTCACCATTGACATTATAAATTATAAACTATATCAGACTATGACCAAATAGACAGATCAGATGGACACCCGGAAATTATGGGCAAACATAATCTGTTCCAAGATTCCAATCCTAGAAATACTGGCATCTTTTGGGGAGCCCACATGTTTTTATATCCCAATCCCATTCCATGTCATGAAATATCCGAATCATCATCCCATTATCCCCCAGTAATTGAACACAGTTCTTCGATGATTTCCTGATTTCCGTTTTTCAAACAATGGTAAATTTCCGATTAGCAAAACTATTTGTCATTATGAGATTATTATGTAGAGTAGATACTTTATACCTAGATCATCCTAGACCCATCCAAGTTGTATACAAAAACAAATGGTGAATTTTCCCCGCATGTCCTCCCCCAGAAAAATGGTGGTTTTATGTGATTTTCCCCTCATGGATCTTGCTACGTTTCTCATCGTTTCTCCATATGTTCTGGCTCCAAAACCGGAAGCAGCGGCCTCTTTGGCCTTCTTCACGGCCACCCCAAAGTTGGTTTCGCGGAAGGGGAACTTGCCCTCCTTGGGGAGCTCCAGACCCTTCCTGGTGGAGCTGGGTGGTCCAAGAAATCCCAGAAAGACATGGGATCTCCACTTTCGTGAAGACATTCTGGCAGCATTGACTTGGAAAGTCATCTAAAACTATGAATGGCTTTCAATGGCTATATCTTGGCTTTCTGAGGAGGGGAAGCGTTGGGTAGGCAGATCCTGGTTTGGGGAAATCCAGGTGGTTATTCACCAAAAAAATGGATGTAATCAAGAAAGCTATGTGGGGGGGGTACATATACTTTATATAACCTTGTTCGCAAGAGGGCTTACAATATCTTGAAATACATCTTGGAATCGATATGTTACGAACGAAAATTGTGATATACAGCCAACCACAATGGGGATAAAACGGGGATATAGTGGGAATGTAATATATATATATATTATATTTATAAACTATAGATAACAATATGATATCTCCCGTTGTCCCCAAAATAATCAAAATAAAAGATTTCAGTATATGGTTATTTAGGCAGGGCAATTATGATAAACCATAGAATTTCGGCGATATTCGGACGTCTTTGACTGCGGTCATTAGGACGTCAGAGCCACTGAAAACGTTCTATCTCAGAAAATCAGAAATCATCCAACATCATGTCAATACACTGCTTCCAATTGCGGTTATTTCAATTCTGTGTCTATCATCTACGCATGTACTTTAAATGCATCCCGCAGTTCAAGGAGCTCGAGATGTACTCACAGCTCAGCTTGTTGCATCCAAGATTCAAGGCTGCAGGATCATAGAAGACAATCTTGGCCAACACATCTCTAGGGTCCTTGCCTAGAGCTTCACATATCACCCTCACCACATCGACATGGGACAAAAGCTCATCCCCTGCGCAATTGAAGATCTGTCCGCTGGCTTCGTTTGTGGCTTCGGCCTCTTTCCCCACCACACTGGCCATCATGCCGGCCACATCTTCACTGTTGGTCAAGGTTGTGAACAAACTTCCATCCTGTGGAAGGGGAAAGGGCAAATCTCTGGTAATCCGATCCAAGAACCAGTCGATGTAATCGCGTTTGTTGGTCTTGGGACCGTAGATGTATTGAGGTCTAAAAGCGCACCAGTTCATCCCCAGCTTCCGCGCATGGTTTTCATTGGCCAGCTGCTTGTTATCCAACTTCACGGGACCTCCTTCGATCAAAGGTCCAGTAGGGGGAACCAAGTACATGCCACCGGAGCTCACGTAGGCATAGACTTTGGGATTCCAAGGCTGTACCATGCTTTGAACCTGGGCCAACAATTAAAACGACACTTGGACTCTAAGATTGGTTTTCAACTCGGAAGGAGATAACCCAAGTCTTGGCAACTAGAGCATTGATGCATACAATATCTCCGGGATGTTCTGTCTTTTTATTGATCTAAATCTAAAAGTCTAATATGGAATGACACCTCCAAAAAAGTTCAGCCCGGGGCTCATTGCCAATCTAAAAAAATACCCTGCAAACAACTGTATTAAATTAGCTGGTAATCGTAGATATTCCTACTATAGCCAAAAAACTAGAGAATTATATAAACTACCCATCCAAGGTTGACCTAAGGCTGAGCAGCATCTTTGGGGCAAATGTTCTGATTGTCGAAGACATACTCGCAGGGCTGCACACCCTGCATGGCAGCAGACAATCCTGAAGCGGGTCGAGTTCAACTTGAGCCACTGAACAATGCTAAACCGCCAAGAAAACAAACATCGAAAGGTGGTATTTCATACTTGAATATAACATAATGCAGTAATACATAAGAATACGCCAACGGACCTTTTGATACTTCAATAATGTTCAATCTATTGTACAATTGTTGCAAATGCCATATGGAATATATTCCAGTACACAATTGTGGCTCTCACCAGGCGGATATTCCGGGCCTCCATTTTGGAGATCTGCCAGTTTGACGTCTACACCAGCTGCAGTGAGGTCGCCGTAGCTGTCGAAGGGGGGTTTGTCTTGCTTGCAGGCGCTGTCTTGAATCATAGTCACCTCTGGTGAGGCTGGGAGCACCACCAAAAAACGCATGTGAAAATTCTGGAAATATGGGGTCTGATATGGCACCTCTAAATCCATTGGTTAGTCATATCGTTTTTCCCATTAAATGGCCATATCATTTAGAAGGTATACACCATTTTCAGATAGACCCATTGGTGAAAGTGCCAAAAGTGCCAAAGCATTTCAAAGCATCCCATCTACCCATTCATATCATTCATTTTGCGGATCGATTGGCTCTTGACCTCCCGATTTAGTGGCTGCTAAGCTCCTCCAATATCTCTGGGCTAACCATTCTGTTGGAAATGAAACGAATGAGATCGAATGAGCGCTGAAAAATCCGATAGAAAATACCCAAAACAGTGATTGGTTAATGATGGTTAATGGATGTTTATGGGGACTCCCAGTTCATGAATTATATAATGACTATATGCAATCCCCAAGTATACAAAGGGAAGCAAGGGCGTTTCAGAGTTTCAAAGAAAAACGACAACTTAACCATTATTTATCGCATCATTTTTCACGTACATCCAAAATCTACATCTTGTTGATTCGCAAGAGCCGTATACTGTCCACGACCGTTCTTTCCCCATTTACCATCCTCTAGCTTAGTTTCCACTAAGTTCATACATAGATAAAACTACGGTTTGTGGTTGTGGCACTGAAATTGGTCTGGGTAATTTATAATAGCTCACTATCCTGAAACCTGCGGCCGAAAAAAAAGAGGATGATTCCCCATATAGAAGCCATGATTCCATATGATTCCAATGAGGTCACAACACAATATACCCAGTCAAATGGATGTGGGTCAAAATGGAAGACCTAGGGGACCACAGATGGAAATGTCTAGTTTAGTATTAACCATCCAATTATTGGGGTACCTAATTTTGACCCATACCCAAATTGATGCCAAATCACCTTTAATCCCTTCTCTTTGGCCAGCTTCAAGGCCAGGTGATAGCCGATCTCACCATGTCCACCGCCCTTGTTCTGCACAATCAACGCGCTGGCAGCCATGGCCACTAAGGCGGCGCCCACCACATACCTGTGGCTAAACCAGCCACCATGCTGTCTATCAAAACCCCATGGTTCAAACAATCAGATTTTGTTGGGGAAAAATGCTGTAAATATATATATAGAACCCCCATAATAAACCTACCATTTGGGGATGATAATGGATGATAATTGGATGATATTTACCACCCATTCATAGTGATATTGGGATGGTTCATTACAGGGTTTACCACATTATTGTTTTTTTTACTATTTTTTTGGCCGTTGAGAGAATGGGTCAGTCCACCCTGGTATCCTTCTGTTCACCCAAAATAGCTCGGATTCATGGATGTTCATCCCTTGCAAATCGCATAAAAGATCAGATTGCTGGTTGCATATCCGAATCCCAACAAAATGTCCGGTTTTTACCATCATGTTTGTTCATTAATGTCCATTAAATCACCCATCTATGTTAGGTTTCCGTACTTTCTACGGCAAATCATAAGTATCCTGATGGTCTTATTACCCAAAGGTCACTCATCCGTATTAGTCCATCAATCATTTCATCCATTGGATCCATAGGTAACTTATGGCATGACTGGTAACTTGATCCATCCCTTGATCCCCAGCTCCACCTGTGACTTCCACTGTGCCACGACTCCGCGCTGGCACCAGCCAGGCAGGGTGCCACGCGCGGCGCCGGCCGCGCCGTTGTCAGCGGCGTCGCCGCGACGAACGCCACGGAGGTGGCCGCCGCGACAGCCGCGACGGCCGCGACGGCCACGGCACGCAGGGCACGTGAGGGGAGCATGGGGCAAAACTCAGCCGACTAAAGGCCTGCTACTCAGATATATTCAGATATATTCAAAATATGTGGTGGAAGCTACACTTTTTCGAGCCGACAAGCATAGCAACTCAGTTCTTGTGAGGGATGGTGAGTGTCTGAAAAAGGTTTGGGAGCCTTCAAATCTCTGAATTGATGGTCTGTACTGTTCTTTTGTAGGAGGGGGAGCCTGGCTCTCTCTTAGGTGCCAATTTGGGGACGCACCATGGTCCCTCTCAAGTTGGGCAAGATCTATCCAGGTCTATATCAAGTTGTAGGTCCTTCAAGACAACATTGGATGCATCTGGGTAACCTTGGTGCAAGTCCCAAAATGGATGATTGGCGCTGAAATTTGACCAAAACCGAGTGTGGTTCCCCGGTTCTATTGTTTTTGAAGCTACCAAATTCTATTGCAGTCAAGCACCATGTTTTTCCTTCGAAACCGCTTTCCATGAAGCAGAATTACTAGCTACCTGATGATTGGACACCGGCAATCAGTGATAAAAACAAACGCATTGCAATAGTCAATGAGATCAATCAGTAACAAAACGCAATAATACAAAGAAATACTTACTCAAGGATCATTAAACATATATATATATATTACATATAAATACAAATATAATTCATAATTAGTAAAAATCCTGGTCACCTACAGAATCCCTGCACTTGGCCCTGGCATCTTGGGCTTCCCTACGCTGCGAAGCCGGACTTCTGCCAGGACAAGGTCTTGTGGCCGTCGGACCATTCGAGTGATGTTGCAGCAAACTCACCTCCAACTGCACTGGGAAACCGGTTCATGGGCCATAATTTGGCCATCCCAGAGAAACATAGAAACCGGGTAGTATAACCCCCCTAAAAAAAAACTATCATAACCAATCAAGACGGGTAGATTTTTTAAATGGCTAAATTTAGATGGTGAGAGAGGCAAGTTTGATACAAATACCCAGGCTTCCAGTTGCATCTGAGATAGGTAACCAGGGTGATGTTACCTTCTGATATTAGGGATGGTTACATACCAACATAAAACAGCGACTATAAATATGATGGTGCCATAATGGTATACACTCGCAGAGTACCAACATATTTTCACCACTTTTGAATCATGGACAACCCTCCGTATGGAAGAAAACTGGTCGACTTATGGTGGGAAGAGGAAACACGAAGAAACACTGCAAATCCCCATGAATTTTGTCCATTGAGTTTGACGTGTTCACAAGATACTTCTACCTTGAAACTCTGAAGCACCAACGGTTTAGTATGGTGTATAATGTTTATATAGTGATGTTTAGTGTAATTGCAAACCCGTATTTAAAGATTTCTCGTATTTCAAATTGAACATGGGAATCTCGACCACACGACAGCTGCCTCAAACAAATTTGTTTGAAATCGGGACCCCAAAACTCATCATTCTCCCTTCAACTAAATGCCATTTTGAGCTATACCGTGTACCCAATGTTGGCAAATAGAGCCCCCAGGTTGGCCTTGCATATACCTGGTGGACCAGCCATCATCCTCCACCAACCTCAACGACTCAACGATTTCTGGCCAGAAAAATAGGGCACTTTTTCTCAGGCACCTGAGGCTTGGACGCAAAGGTACCGTCCTGGCCCCCAAAGATGAAGACCTGACGAGTTTAGGACCCAATTCCGACCCGTGAGAACGGCCATCCGCAGTTGCGCACAGTGCAACTGGTTTACTTTTGAAACTCCTAGATTCCACCACTTAACCAGCGGCTGAATATGAAGGGTTCCAACCACTAAGAACAACATAGAGCAACGTCGTAGAAATCTCGAAAAAAAAACTGGCACGGGTCAGTGGACAAGAATCCTAGACGATCCTAGTTGTGAAATCATCCTTGATATCCCTCTAACAACAAAACACCAAAAAAAACAACAGAATAAAGTCATATATATAGTCACTATAGTCACTGGCTATTCTAAATATTTTGCTGGATTCTACATATTGTTTGCTTCTTAATCACCCCATTGTGACCGATTCAAACCGCCAGGGTGCCTCCAAAGGGAATCGGCCAATGTCACCGCTGTGTTGGACCTGGACCAGCTGATGGTGGGCCATCCAACTTTAAGCCTGCAGGTTGGTGCTTTCCGCTTGAGAAAAACTTGATTTGATTGGCATGGAAATGGATGGAAATGGGATTTTATGGGTTGCATTTCAGCTGTGCCAAGAAATTTCAAGCTGTTTGTTGCCGTGTGCCCCCGAAAAAAAAAAAACTTCACCATCGGTGCACCAACGGACCCGCAAAAATCGCCTAAGAGGTCCTGGGAATTTGGCCAATTGTTTGGCCGATTGATTTCCAGTTCAAATGCCCATCCCCCATTTCTGCACCCAGATCATGTTGGTTGTATCCCACTATCCCACTGGCATGTGGGATTTCGTACCCCGTAACTTTGTCTGTAACAAATCACTATTTTTAAATATAGATAATATATATTATATATAGCCACTTATAGATAAGCTTCCCATTCAACATTGCCATATATTCCGGGTAATCCACCATTTGCTTATTTCATTGGTTAAATCATCGTTGTTGACGGATGAGACTTCCTCATTTTAAGTCACGATGTTTGAGCCTAAACCAGCCAGTTTTGCTGGTAAAATCCCCAATTCATAGATTGAGAAACAAAGCTCACCAGAACTGAGCGAATCCGGCCACTGGTGACGTGGGAATGATGGTTCCAGGTCGAACATAGCAAGGTACCTGCAGTGGAAACATGAGGAACACGACTTTCTTGTCACCTGTATCTCTATCTCTCTCTCTCTCTCTCTGTAATTTATATCTGCATATCATAATCATACATGGATATATACATATGTCTGTATGAATATAATATGTATACGTATGTTTCATGTTTGTATGCGGTGCATGTACGTAGTTAAATGTAGAAATGTAGAATTGTACCGCTTGCTGGAGGATTTGAATGATATGAAATGGAGCGATGTTTCGATTTTTCACACAGTTTGGCAGTCTGTCTGGCTCTTCCCGCGCCTCTTTCAGTGGCACGAAGAGGTTCTTCAGCACTTTCCCAGTGCTTTGTATAGTCAGCATCTCCTGCTCCTCCAGCTGTCAGGATCCCATTCATAGAATGGCCAGTGAAGCCAATACTCTGGTAATGACTAACAGTTTGCTATTGAATGGCCATTGAAATAGTGGATTTACCCATTGAAAATGGTGATTTTCCATAGTTGTTTGTATGTTTACCAGAGGGTAATAAACGTACCAGTTGTCCATTTAGGGAACAAACCACTTATGTTGACATCGGGGCATTAGTAATCGGCTTTACCACAGCCACTTTCCCAGGTCATCCATCCGCCCATGCAAGGTTTATCCTTGGCAGTCTTGAATTTGGGTAACCCTACCTACAGAAAAATTATCAAAAATTGAACAGAACCAAACCAAATGTCCAAATCCTATAGGTGGGCCACATCTTTCTTCAACAAAGGCTATTAGTGACCTCAGCAGTACATCAAAATACATCAAACTGATCCAAATATCAACACCACGGTATTAAAATGTATTAAATATCAGATTAATATAATCTTAAAAACTCAATATCTCTAGTTCAGTACGACAAATATTTCTGAAAAATCCAAATCAGAATTCACCAGAAATCCATGGCACTTCCCATCGCACCTCCAGGACCTTCCCAAGCGCTAGACCTTTGGCCTGGCAGATGAGTATGAGAGAAGTATGGGATAATCATTGGATAATGTTTGTTAATGTAATCGGTATACTCTTCCCACATTTTTTGTAGGCGGAGGGTCCAGGAAATATATCTTAATAAGTAAACTAAGTAAACTTATCTCCAGTGGCAGTGTTTTTCCCTGCATTTCCACAGTTGGAAAGCAACGCCAAATATCCTCATGCCAGGTCCTCATGCCAGGTGATGGTGGAAACAATTTAGATACAGTCACTGGGGTCTTCAGTGGATTGTTTCAAGGGAAAACATGCAGGGGACCATGGTGTGTACCATGAAACATAGGGAGTTCCAGTCACTTCCCAGAATTGCTTGGTGGGAAACAACATAGGGGGACCCCTATGTTTGGGGCTGCAGAAATTTCGGAGTTTCCTGCATTCTTTTTTCATAGACCAATATCCATCAATGACTGCGATAGCATGCGGATACTTGAGGTAGGAATACAGATGGATGGATGGATGGATGGATGGATGGATGGGTGGATGGATGGATGGATGGGTGGATGGATGGATACACCCTATGGATGGCTAAACAATGCTAAACATACACAACATGACGAAATATGTTGCTGACTCCCTTGGTGTTCATCAAAATACCTGGATACAACGGATTTTTTAGCATTGAAATTTGCAGAAATCCACCACGCCGGAAGCCCATGGATGCTGAACACACAACAGGTCTTGAATGCTCCATCCCAAACAGCAAAAAAAAAGGCTTAGACCCTCCAAGTACATCCAAGTAGCACAAGAATGTGTGGGAGTACTGGGAGTACCTTAAAAAATATGGGAGAACATACATTTGTTTATGGGTGCTTGGACGGTCTATAAATAGATCGGAAAAAACAATCATGGACATCATGAGTGAGGTACAGCTCAACAGAGGAGCGGTGGAAACAGGCAGAAAAAAATAGCGTCGCAAAAGCAAAGGTCCCTCCGCAGCAAAACAGGAAACTCAATACCTTGGTTACCTTGGTTCTCTTCTTGTCTTTCTATCTGCTTTCTCATGGCTTGCCGACACGTTGCAACGAGTACGTACAGAAAATGCAGCCACACAGAGATATAGAAGTTGTTTTCTGCCATGTGGGCACAACTTGATATATACAGTATATACATATATGGACATTTGTCATTGGTTGAAACCACATTCAATTCCAACGTACACAATCCACCATCGGGAAAATTATGTAAAATGATGCTCGAAATTATCCATACGCATCCTGTCATATCCTAACATCATAAACATGGTGAGGTCTTCCAGTGCAATCACAATTTATATACACCATGAATGACAAGTGCTGCGCCTGTTGGGACAGCTTGATGGCTCGGTCGAAGCGATACCATAATCCAGGAGGCAAAACAATGTCCTGGGATTTCTTGGAATTCCAAGAATCTTTCACTGGGTGGATTCCTAAAACATTTTGTCAGGAAACGATTGTTGGTGCCATCCAAAAATGTAGATATCCTCAGGGATTTCAGGTTTTCTTTCCTTTTAAACAAATATGATAGTCGTGAGCAAAAATGACACAATAACTGCTGGGTCGTATGTGGAATCGGTATGGAGAGACAAAGGCAATGAATCTCAGAGTCAACATTCCGAACCACCATGGGTGGGGTCTCTCGGTTTGCAAGGTTTTGTAGCAGGAACAAACCAATTTCTCTGATGTGGCAAGCCCTACAAATAAAATTATCCGCGGTATGTCGAAATTTCAAAGGGAACGTAACATGAAAACATGTAAAACATGGTCACACTGCATCTTTCAACCAATCTGTTTGCAGGAATAGTGAACATGAAGGACTCAGTCTTGGAGGGTCTTGAATTCTCAATTTCCTGCTAGGTATCACCTCACACATGGGATAATCAAAACAGAACATTGTATATAGACACTGATAGAAAATGACATTTGACATTGTCTGTCTAACAAACAGAATCATTATTATATTAATGTGTATTATACAGTATATCATTCTGTTTGCATTCCAGCTTCCAGTCAAGGCAGTCAAGGCGCATGCGTGGAATTTTTCTTCAGCACTGGCGCCACCAGGATGCTACCGTCCATCCATTGGGTGGTCACATCTCTCACCTGCGATCTGTGGATCTGTGGATCTGTGGATCATGTAGGCATGCTTGGATCTAACAAGCCAATTTTAATATTATTTGAAGTTAAAGGACACATATTAAGTAAATGTGTCCATATATATGGAATATAAATAGTATATAAGGACACATATCATTTTATATCTATATATAGATAGATAGACATATACACCCGTATAATATAAATAGTATATATGGAAGTAAACACACATATATATATATATATCATTTTCTGGAGGTAGAGCCATAGCTGGTCCACACCTCTGGCGTCTCGGGATAGTCCATGGCCAATGGTCGAATCCACCTCAGGGAGAGATAGATTGGGACATATCATGAGGATCGTCATGGATAAAATGATAGAGAAGAGTGGAAGATTGGAGAATCATTATGATACATATCTATACATAGAGTATACTGGATGATTTTAAGATTGGACAATAAATATCTATACATATCATTAAGATTGGATAATACTGGAGTATATCTATACATATCTACTATTCACGGATGATAGTATACTTTATCCTTATGAATCATAGTAGAAAAGTGGATAATCATTATGATCAATATTAACTATAATTGGATGATTGCATAAGAATGTGGTAAACCTAATAGTATACCTACAGTACCACTTGGGGATGACTTGGGGATGGTTTCTGGCATTGGGTTTACCACATTAATAGGATAGGGAATAGTGGGGGATTGGATATTTTGAAAAAAAAACCTGGAGTGAATCTATAATTATCCACTAGACTATATCAATATCTAAATGCTTTCTACTATATCAGTACAGTTTATCTACGTATAGTATATGTATAGTTTATCTATAGATTAGTTAGTACTATATCCAATATATCCATGGCTGCAAAATGCAACACATATATATATAGATATACATAGTGCTCCAACAGACGCTCTGAAGAGTGGTATATCGATTTTAATATCAATGGTTGGTGAAAAACGGGATTCCCAGTTCATGACAATACACTAGATAAAAAGTTGATGGAAAACACAACAGGTGGTATCGGGTGATAACCTCTCTTTTTTATATCCAATCAATCAGGCTTTGAAGAGGCCGAAGGGCCTGAGATGGAGTACAGAAGGACTTGGAAAATGCGGAAGCTGCGGGCAACAAAGCTTGGTCTGTTTGTTCAATAGATATAGTCTAGTGGATAATGATCTAAATTTGAAAAACGCAAGATGCGGGGACATTGCCAAGATACAAATTGCCAGTGGCTCGCTGCGAATGTGCCAAAGAGTAGTGGAATGGCCTCAAATGCACAAATTGTTGATGTCACTTTGCCTGCACAAATTTCAATGAAACTGGTCAATTGCCACCCTGGCAGCCTATTCCCAGTATGCTCTGGCAGGCGGGCATCCTATCTTGAAGGTATATTGTGCTGAACCATACAGGTGTCCAAGTGCATGAGGTCTATCATTTCGGAAGTATGCGGCTTTGTCGCTTTGGAGGATTTACCATCAGTTTATGGCAATTTGAGCGGAAAATCATGCTGTACCATGACATTTTGGTGCTCCATCATTTTTTGGAAAGAAACACATCTATCAAGCTGAGAATTCGGCAGCAGTCTGTAGCGCAATTCCAAAATCTCAGCGCGTTTAGGCTCCAGCTTTTGATCAATCAAGGCCAGGTGTTTTGCTAGATGTTGGAACCCACGTTTCGTTCAGAACTTATATGACTTATACATAAATACTTGTCGTGAGCAAAACTGGCTGCCAGATGTTTCGACATGCGCACTTCTTCTCAGATAGTGTGTATGTATATATAGATATACACATTGTTCTCGCTTTCAGGAATAGAAGCTGATAGAATGTGTTCCAATTCGCCCACCAAAGAAATCGCTCTGGAGAGCTCTGGAGTAAACTGGTCAAGATACACCCTCAAAATTGGATGATTTTTTTGCGGCATCCAATTTCATCTAATTTCTTGGTACAGGGCCCGCTGTCCACATATCCAGAGAATACAAAGCGGCATCTGAATATGTCCCTTCAGTCTGGCTGAACTAAAACTATTCACTGACCTGGCGGAAAATAGCTGAAATAAGGCCTCCTGTCTTCCCTTGCGCCCCCAACCCCAGCTGAAATAAGGCCACACCAGGCCCATTTGGGAATTTCCCACTTAGTAACCATCATTCCAGCGACGTCACCATGAGATCATTGAGATTCAAATCGGATCACTGGAGGATGAGTTGTGTTCTCCTTATCGCACATGGTGCAATCTGACCCTGGTTGTCTCTCCAAACTCAACCGCTTGCTGGTTTAAACCCATCTGAATTTGAAACATATTTGTCAATTGGGATCATCATCCTAGGTAGGGGTGAACAAAATGAAACCACTAACTAG